TTGTTGGAAGAGGAAATTGGTCATCCAGTGGGACAGGGTGAGGAGCAGGCACCTGAGCTTAGTCAGCTGGGCGTTGGGGACGTGAGCGGCCCGGCTCTGGGGCAGAGCACTAGTGGTGCTTGCCTGGCGACTGATTTGACGGAGGATGAGGCTCGTGCCGAGGATGCTTAGTGCCCACTTTTTTTTTTTTGTATTTTGGGGCCTGCGATGCCCTTCTATCTGTCGTCTGTGCCGTTTTCTGTATTCTGAACTTGGGCGTTTGGTGCCCTATATATTACTTTTGATTGTTCTGGTTTCTCGTGTTGTCTCCTCGAATGAATGAACTGTTCTTTTGTTTCTCTTCCTTATTCTTGTGCGTGTTACCTCAGCGTGGCCTGATGGCTGAGGCATGTAGGCCTTATGTCAGGCTGGGTTGGTGCTGACCCAGACACAACGGTTTAGGAATCATTCATTCGGTCGGGTTGACCGAGTATGTAGTCACCTGGATGAGTGGCGGTGCGTCTTTAGTTCAGTTTCTGGGTTGGATGGGGCCGGACCTAAGGTGCCAAGTCTTGGATCGTGCAGGCCGATCTTAAGGTGTTTAGGGTTTAGGTTTGAGAGGCTTGTGCCCGCTTGATTTGGGCCAGTTTATACCTCATGTTAAAATAGGACTAACATGGCTTGGGCCTTTGCAGGACTGGGCCTGGTCCATCTTCGCTAATGGTCCTATTTCCCTATTTGGGCCAAGGACGATTTTTGGCCCTAACACCCTACAACAACGCAAAGTCTATGAGCTAGCCCGTACTCCTATCTAATTCAAGCGAACTCCTCCTCAGGTAATGTAGAAGACGAGCCTCTTTCGGGTCTAACAATTGTCAAGGGCTCGACATCATTGGCAACGTCCTCAATTGATCCCATGGGATCGACCTTTGCCCCGCTGGACTGATTCCTACCAGATACCTCAGCTGCAAGGATATCCATTTCGGTTCGCTCCTTGGCTTCTACTCGGGTGGCCGAGGAAGCGTCGCCAACGAGTCTGTTAGTGTCAGTTTTGATGTTGCTAGTCACCATACTAACATATCGTCTTCAAGTATTCGAAACATGAAAGGACAAGTGTTACGTTGCCGGGAATTGAACCCAGGACACCAGTGTATTCGCACTTGGCTTTTTAAAATGGGGTAAATTTTCTTTTCATTTTCTCGTTATCCTTTTGTTTACATTTGTACAATGGGAACAATGCAAATGTTAAGGAAGTCCCTTTTTTTCAATATGTTAAATGTGTGAATTAATGAGAAATTTTTGTTTGTTTTTGCCTTTGTTTTATTTTCTTGGGTTAATTGTCTGTCAATGATAGGACTATAATTATGATAACATGTGACTTTTAGAATACATTAAATTTTGCTTCAGATTAAGGATAATTTTAAATGTTAATTATGTATAGTTTGAGACTCTCTTAGTGTGTGGTATGATTGTTGATCAGTTTAAATGCTTAGAAAAGTTTTATGTGTGAATTTTTCTTGGATATTGTTGTAATCTCAACAAACTCTAGAACTCACTTAATGGCTACTTAAGGCAAAATCCTAGAATTCAGATTACTTAAAGAAATGTTTTAGGCTATTTTTGGACCGTTTGAGCCTTTTAAGCCTACTATTTATTTTATTGTCACTAGTTACCCATTTGAGCCAATTTTAAACGCCTTTTTAGCCTTCATATTCTTTCAAAAATCCTACTATAACGTACGTATCTTATGAGCCCAAAAAACGTAATCCTACACTTTTATTTTTAAGAGGACTTAATTTCAATACAAGCTTTAGTGAGAGCACTTAGGAAAGAGAGGGTGGAAATTCGAAGATTATCACCACAACCCGTATGTGATCAAATAAATTGGTTGGGAGTTATTGAGTGTTTTTTATGAACAAGTGTGGGTTAGAAAAGTGTTTAAAAAAAAAAGAAAAAAAAAAAACACAAAAGAAAGAAAAAGAAGAAAAGGGTATAGTGACATTGATGAAGGGTGAAAACATGCAAGTGAAGTTTTTATTATCATGGGAAGAAAAGCTCAATAAAGTTTTGGGAAGGTTGGGGGCAAAGGAAGTTATGTTAGTGCTTAAAGGGTTGTGTTTAAATTGCATGAGAATAAGCCTCTTATTTTTTGTTTTTGTTTAAATCCCTTCCATTCTTTCATAACCCCATACATTAATCTAACGTTACAACATTTATAAAAACCTATTTGTTTGAGGTAGTCTGACAATTATACATTAATGTAGAGCGGTTTGAAAAGTGAGCTTATGGAGTTTGATTCTATGACTTATACACATGACGTGCTCCAAATTCTAGATATCAATTCTTTGTCTATGAATATTGTGAATAAAATCTTTCGGGTTTCTAGATTAATGGTTTGTGGTTTGATGAATATTTGAGAGTCGATAACGACATTGGAATTGATGTTTGAGTAATTTTTGGGCTTGGTTGATTTTTAATTATTCTATTTGTTATGTGTGTGTGCAATTATTAAGACAAATATATGAATTGATCCAGGAATTACTGTTTTTGTTTGTTTTTATTTTAGAGTTTAGGTTAGGGTTAGTATGGATGTTTGTGGGTGTCATCTCTAGAACCCTCACGAGACTATAACTTGTCCAACTAGGGTCGCCTAGGGGTTTAAAGGCTTATTGCATATGCTAAATGCAACTATGACAATCTACAGATGTGATTTAGGTTAGCTTAGGTGTAGAATTTATTTTTATTTTGATTTTTAAGCTAAAAGACATCTTTTGATCACTTAGCTTCCTAGGGACTAGCAAGAAGCTGGTTGGGGGTTGTGATAAGTGCATGAAAATACACTTATACGTAGTAGTTTATCGGGTATTATTTGTGGAAAATTAGGTTTAATTGGTGTGATTATGAAATTTTCATAAATATATTTTATGAGATCACGAGTATGTTTTGTGTGTTTTCAAATTGTAAATGGTTAGAAAAAATGATATTCAGATGAAAAATGATGTTGACGACGAAATTTGTGATGATTGGGAACAAATGGTTCAAGAATCTTTTGTCGAAGAATATGAATCAAATATTTGCTCAATTTGCATATGAGAACTTTGAGTTTGTGTATGTAAACGTGGATTAGCATTACGCAAATGGTGCGATTAGTTCAGGGAATGTTGCATTACTGAGAATGTTATATTAGTGGAAAGATAGATTACCTTGAAGATTACTGGAAATATTTGGAAAAATGTGTTTAGCTAGGTTGGAATAAATTGATGGGTATGTTATATTGATATGTTTGGTTGGGAGGAACAAATTGGTGGGTATGTTATATTTATTACTAAATTATCCTCCTTTTTCAATATTAATATAATAATATTTTTATTTTTATTTTTTGAATCATTTCTTTTAACCCCCTATCTTTGAAATTTTGCTAAAACACCTCAGCCACATAAAAGTTTAATTTCTAACAAAATCACCCCCACCTAGCACCCACCCAAGCCACTTCTGACCACCGGCCACCACCCTAGCCACGATGGTGCATGACCGGCTAGATTTGGTCATTTCCAACTAGACCCATTTCAGGCCAAATCCATGTCCATGGCCATTAACCTCCATGGATCTGGCCGGAAACGACTAGATCTATTCTGGCCAAATTGACGGATCAAATCTATGGCCAGCCGGTCGTGTGCCGTTCCGACGACGTCAGTCGACAATGGTCACGAGTGATGGTGGCTAGCGGGTGACAATGGTCTTGGATGGCTTGTAATTTATTTTAAATACAACGACATTACTATCAAAAAACTTAATTAATTAGGAGTAAAATTTTAATAACATGTTCATGTAAATTAATTTCAAAATAAGGGCATTATTATCCTAAAATTTTATTAATAAATATGGTAAAATTATAACAAAAATAAGATTATTAAGTAATCTGAAAATACTTAATAAAATAGTGGTATTCAAATTATCATATATATCACTAACAATAATTAATATTAATTTTAAAAAATTACTGAAATTTTATATTACTTGACAATAAAATGTGACAACCTTAATAATATAAGATCATATTCCCTGAGTAATGGTGATAAACCCCAACCAAATGCCCCCAAATGTTATAAAGAATTCTGAAATTTTATCAGAAAAGACCGCGACAAGAAGACTTTTGTGTCCAAAGCTTTTGACTTAACATAGCTTAATCTTTAAAATTTGGCTCATTTAAAATACTCCTTATATCTGAGTGACATTTGTAATAATCACTTTTATTATAATGTACAATTTTAACGAGGTCGGTAGGTTGGATTGGGTGAGTGGGTCCTTTAACTGAATTTCTTAGATTGTTTTGAGGCGGACGATGTTTCAAGTTGGAGGTAATTAGTGGTTTTGATAGGCTACGGTGTGTCCACTATCCAGCGTGGATGTGTTTAGGGATTTATGGTAAATTTTGGGAATACAAATATTCTAAGAAAACTAAAAATATCCCCTCATATTTGACAGAACTCTCAAACATCTCCCATTTTGCAAAATATTGCTCAATATTAAAAAAAAAAAAAAAAATCATTCAAACATTATACATCATTAACACCACAATAATATGCTTTTGACAGTAATCATATCTTTTATTTATCATCACATAAATAGGTCAATAATTATTAATTTAATTTTAAATTTGACATTTTAAGATAGTTTCAATAATTATGAAATAAACAAATAATGTTTCAATATTATAAATAATTTTATTACAACGTAACAAGGATCATCTTAAACCAATCAAGTATGTATTAGGGAGAGATGCTTCGATTTTTCTAACATTACAGAATATGGTATCGAAGATTAATTTTTTCATTTCTCATATGGACCCTGAATAGTGAATAGGTATCTCTCAAAGTAGTTGAGGTCGATTAGAAATATTTAAGAGTTGAGGGACGATGGGTGGAAATTCTCATAAATTATTGAAACTCCGCGTCGGCTCCGACCCACGTGAAACTTACTCCAAACACACTACACTTAATCCTCACCCAATTACTCCATCACACAAACTCAACTCAATTTTCTCTTTCCCTCTCTACTCTCTCTGTATCTTCTTCTTCTTTTCATTATTTTTGAATTTCTTCCATCCTCTCTCTCTCTTTCCCATATCCTCCACTCTTCCATTTCAATTTCCAATTCCATTTTTTTTATGGACTTTTCAACTTCTCTCCAATTCAGTCCTCCAGGTTGACAATTATTTAGAAAAAACAAAAATGCGTTTACTGATACTATTTCAATTGTGAAGGAGGCTTTGATTTTGTTTTAATAATAAATGATTCTGCAATCGCCTTCCTCTTCTGCGAGTTTCAATTTCTCGCAGAAGACAATTATTATCCCTCAACTTTGTCCATGTCAAACTTTCACTAATCAAATTCTAAACTTTCCTTTCTCCAAACGAAGAAGAAAAAAGAATTTCTCCAGAATATTCAGTTTTCGCGCGTGTTTAATCCCCGCTGATAGCAGTAGCAGTAGTTTGAGTGTTGAATTCGCCAATTCAACGAGACGAGGCACCAGAAACTATGTGGCTAAACAAATTTCAGACGAATTGAAGTCAGAAGAAACTTCCTCAACCATCCAAATGGGTTCAAATTTCACCAATTTTCAAGAAGATCCTATTGTGAATAAACTAAGAACTCAATTAGGAGTAATTCATCCAATTCCATCGCCTCCAATTAATCGAAACATAGTCGGTTTATTTGTTTTCTTTTTCTTTGTTGGGGTAATTTTCGATAAAGTGTGGACTTCAAGAAAGAGGAACAACAAATTGAGAAATGATGAGAAGCTTCGTGGTGGGGCATGGCCTCAGGTTCCTACTAGCTTTTCGTTGTTTTTGGAGAAGGATTTGATGAGAAAAGAATCGGTGGAATGGGTGAACATGGTGTTGGGAAAGTTGTGGAAGGTTTATAGAGGTGGTATTGAGAATTGGATAATCGGGTTGTTGCAGCCAGTTATTGATAATTTAAAGAAGCCTGATTATGTTGAAAGAGTTGAGATTAAGCAGTTCTCATTAGGAGATGAGCCATTGTCTGTCAGAAATGTTGAGCGTAGGACTTCACGTCGTGTTAATGATTTGCAGTAAGTTAATTATATTTACTTAATGCATCCGTTGTTTTGTGAGCAATATGGGCGCTTTATTTCTTTATATATGGTGTAGCTAAATTGTACAGAAGGAACTACGAAAAGGGAATTCGTCGGGTTTGATTAAACTTATGGATCCAATGCATACCACGATTGTAATGTATCCCGTGGTTAGATTTAGTGCCTAATGAAGGCATGAACATCATGCTAAGTTTCAAATTAAATGGTTGATTAAGGATAAGGTAATGTATAATGGTTGACAACTTTTCTGGTCTAAAATGCGTTTTAAGGGTGAAATCAAGGCTATTTATGTTGCCTATGGGTGAAAACTATACAAAACATAACAAAAGGATTGAAAAATAAGAAAAGTAATTGAGCTTAGAGCCCTTCTAGGTTCCTCGCGAGAAAAGTCAGTGCCATTTTTATCATAGTGTTTGAGTGCAAACTTTCCAAAGTATGTCATGGTTCACTTTATTTTATTGTTTCTTTAAGTTTGGCTTGTGTGTAGAGATTAAATTCTTGTTATTAGATAAAAAACTTCAAATTACAGAGCGAGTTGTAATCTCCTTGTTGTGGGGCCATTTTTTCGGTTTTTGTGTGCCAAAATTTGATTTAGCAGTGAAGTAATGAATTTAATTGGTTTCTATTTGCTTTTATCTTATGTAGGTACCAAATAGGCCTTCGTTATACTGGTGGTGCTCGCATGCTGTTAATGCTTTCTCTAAAATTTGGTATTATCCCCATTGCTGTGCCGGTTGGTGTGCGGGATTTTGACATCGATGGGGAACTATGGGTTAAACTGCGATTGATACCAACAGAGCCTTGGGTGGGAGCTGTTTCATGGGCTTTTGTTTCGCTTCCCAAGATCAAATTTGAGTTGTCACCATTCCGCTTGTTTAATTTAATGGGTATGGCACATTGATGACCTTCAGAAGTTTATGGCATTTTTCACTTTTTATGCAGTAAAGTTACTCTAATAGTTTTTTCTACATATTTTGTGGGTTGGATGAGATTCTTAACAATAATTAGTAGTGAATTTGATGTCAGGAAACAAATATTAAACAAGATAAATTCTAGGAAGATATTTAATCTTAAGTTGTTTATCATTTACATAATGATTATGCTGTCTTCATTAAAGATTTTGCACACTTTTAGCTAGCCCTCGTCTTCAGGAAACATATATTGGTTTTGGAATCAATTGTAATTGGGAAAGATGAGTTAGTAGATTACTCTCTAGTCTGGAAGTAAGCAGGCCATAACCAGATATGTCAGTTCTGCCCATGTCAGTTAAATACACACTCAGCATGAGCTTGAGCTTGAGCTTGGCTCACAAATATTTGAGAGGTGAATATAACTTGAATTTTGTGTGAGCTTGAATGGCAACTGAACTGACAAAGGGCCTCTGGAAGAAGGATATTTTTAGGTGTCATACTGATCAATGTGAATTTAATTGTTCCATAAACAATCTACTTAAATTCCAATTAAATCTCTGTTCGCCACTCTTCTCAATTTAGTCATCAGTTAAAGGCCTGCACCTTGTTGTATGAATAACCTCAAGTAGTCCTAGCAATATGGAGGCTGTAATCAAAGGTGTTGGTGAACCTTTCAATAATTAATCAAGTTTTGCTTGGTTCCAGATTTGATTGTTCTCAGGTTATTTTTGCTTTAGTTCTTCTATATGGATTTATTTTAATTACTGTGTGTCTTGTCTTTCCTCTTGTCTTTTTTTAATTTTCTTATGGTGTTTGTCTTGTTTTACCTTTTTCTTCAATTTTTAACATGAAAGAAAATGTTCATGCAGAAGAAATTTGTGTTAAAATGCAAATTAGTAGATGCAGTAGAAGGTAAGGAATTTTTTTCTTTAAAGTCATCTACTGGGACAAAATTACGAAAATGGGGATGATCTGGAGAGTCTCTTGGCTTCAGTGAAAAGACATGAGGATGATTCAGGTGTTTTACTTGTATAGATAGGCAAGACCCATAGATGGTTTCTTTTCTCTTTTGGAGATATTATTGGTGCAATATTTGGACCAAATGAGATATGATAATGAATTATTGATTAGTCATTAAGGGTTTTAGCTTGTGAAATAGTTAAAATCTGTCTTAAAAATTTTGGACTTGAATTAGGAGAAGGATGTCAGTTTCATTAGGTCTTGGGAAATTGGGCTCATTTGGATCTAAAAAGAGAGATGGAGAGCGAGACTAAGGGTTGTGTTAAGGTTAAAGTATAACTTAGAATTTATCACATTGTTGTAACTGAAGTAGTTGTTTGAGCCTAGCATGAGTTAATGAAATTCTCATTATGGTTTAAGGCTTGGACAATACGAACTGAGCTCTGGATTCACTCTTATTGATTTTTCCACCACTAGATAGCAAAAGAACTTTGAAGCATCAAAAGTGAATACTTTAAAGGTGAACAATGCTTGTTTTTCTGTAAATTTAATTAACTGGATATTCTCGTGTACAGATTGCACAGCCTAGTGATCTATGAAAACATAGTTGAAAGAAACATAGAACTTGCTGGAAATTACCCAACATCTATTCTTCTTGGGACCTGTTCATCTATCTCATGATTTTCATTGCATCTTTTTTGCTTTGGGTGATTTCAAGAGCTGATTTCTTGCACACACAGACACCTACTCACTTATTTTTGAATTAGATATGGTTTGTTATTGTGTTTACATGCAAAATTTATTTATTTTTCTTTAAACAATTATTTAGAGCTAAGCTAGCTGACATTCGAAGATACTGACTCATGTTTTCTTATCTTCTGTTGATGGTGCATTGGGCGTTCCAGCAATTCCTGTTCTGTCAATGTAAGTGGGGTTTATTTCTGCCAATTTTAAGTTGATGCATGTTTCTTTTGTGAATGCAATTAGTTTGATGTTTAGTAGTATTTTAGGAATATTTTTACATTTTTATGGGCATTATTTCTCTTAGTGGTTTGAAATCTGTTTTGCATCTTTCATGGGCTTAATAAAGACAATATAATGTGGCCCAAGTAGGTGACGGGAAGGGGATTTTAATTGTTGACCTTTTAGTTGTATCCAAGGGCTTTTACCAGTTAGCCCAGCCTTAAGGTTGTAAGAGAATAGACATAGTACTATCCATAATTACAAATGACTTCATCTGGCACACATTATTACTAGTTTTTAGACATGAGACCACATTAGTTGAATAAGTCAAATTTTGTATCAAATATTGTAGTTTCTAGATAACAATTGTTTAAAATCAGAAACTAGAAACCATATTTACTGAAAAAAGAATACAAGTAAGTGGCCAAACAGTCCACCAAGATAGAAAAAACAGTTAGAGAAAATTGGTAAACGATTTCCACTTTTTAAAAGGAAAGGAATATCCTTGATTTATTTAAAAGTGACACCACAGCAAATTGAGCAGTCGATTACCTACATAAAATTCAATCTCTTACTACATAACTTCTTTGAAAATATTCTTATTCCTCTCCTAAAAAACCACCCTAAGAGTTAACTGACCACAATTCCAAAAATTCGTCCCTTTCCTACCTTCTCCAAAGGCATAAAATCCTGTGAGAGCAATGAAACACAGTATCCTATAACAAGAGAGATTATTAGTTCAAAACATATTGTGTTGCATTTAAAAGCCATAGAACAAAATGAATACAGATTATCTGTATTCTGCGTTTCACCTTTATTATAGTGCAAATGTTATTGTTGGGACCTAATCTATCATCTGAAACTTGTGGCTTCTGTGGTAATATGCTATCAAAACCAAGCTAATCAAGTGGTCTACTATCTAAATCCCTCTATTGCATTAATTATCATAAGCTGTGCATGTTGTTGTGGTTAAGATCGTGCTTGTTGTGTTGAATTAAAGTATTTCACACATGAGAGGGCATGTTAATGGTTGAAATGGCAATAGGTTACATATCAGCTTAAGTTTTTTGTCTTTTGGTAACTTTATATGCCTTTTACATGTCAGACACCAACAGGGAAAGAAACAAATATTTGGCCTTTTACACTGGATTTACTCTCAGAATTAAAAGTCACCTTGTACTTTTTCCTACCTACCAAAAAAAAAAGTTACCATGTGCTATTGTCCAATCTAGGAGTTGAATTTTGCTTGAGCGCTCTTCCCTTCAAAATACTACAAGCTGGCTCAAGAAGCGGAGTCAAGGAACCATTCACCAATCAATAAAATTAAGATTTATATGAGAGGATGCCAAAAGAATCCCTTATCCATTATATTCCGCCCCATAAAAGAGAAATCATCAAGCAACAGTGAAAGAGAATTAAATCAGCAAGATATATGGAAGTCAGAAAACATAAAATTCACTTATACATTTCCCTCTTAGAACAGTTTTTAGGATATGATGCTAAATATGTATGGAAGTTAGAAGTTTAAAATCGAATTTTGCATTTTCCTCTTATGGGAGAGTTTTATAAAAAAGTGATTATGCAAAACTTTACCAAACAGGCCAAGTGTTCTTGAATTTTTTATTTTTGTATCTTGTAAGTTTGAATGCCTCTTCTACTTCTACTTCTTTTTATTTTATGGATTCTTATTATTTAGAAGAATATATTAGTCTCACATGGATGACCAAGTGCTTGGCTGCACCTTTTTAGGTTTTTGACTAAACTGCTCACAGAGGATTTGCCTCGATTATTTGTACGTCCAAAGAAGATTGTTTTAGATTTCCAGAAAGGAAAAGCAGTTGGCCCTGTTCCTAATGATCTCAAATCAGGAGAAATGCAAGAAGGCAACAAGGATTTTGTTGGAGAACTATCAGTGACCCTTGTTGATGCTCGGAAACTTTTTTATGTTTACGGTAAAAATAACTTTTGCTTTTATAGTTTTGGTTATAGATATGATACCTATGTGACATTTTAGCTTGTAAATTTTATATGTTTTCGATTGACTATATGCACTATTAATCCTGTAAATTCTTCTCTCTTCTATATTTCCATGCAAACTCATTTTAAACCACCACTAGCTTTGTTGAAAAGTTCACCCACGTAAAGATTTCCATGCCTGACAATTTTTGTACAAGTCCATCTCTACCTTTATTAAATTGCATGGTTTCTTAATTTTTTGAAAAGTAATCATGTACATCTTCATTGGTATATATAATTACTTAGTGATGGATCTATGGACGATTCTGAAAATTAAAAATAAGCTCACATATATTCTTGATCCTCTGTGTTAGCATTCAATCTCTATCAAAACACAGTGTCCCTTTGTTCACTGAATGTGAATGAGTTATATATATCGGTTTTATTTAAATCTGTTTCAGATATTATATTTTTACTGGTTCCTTTTTCTTATTTCAGGCAAAACAGATCCATATGTTGTTCTGAGCTTGGGTGATCAAATTATACGCAGTAAAAAGAACAGTCAGACAACTGTCATTGGGTCACCTGGTGAGCCAATATGGAACCAGGTAATTTGCTTCTTCTGTGTATTTCATCTAATCTAAATCTTCAATCATCAGCATGCATTAAACGGATGTATATTTTTCTGCTGTGAGACTTCTTCAAGTAATTGTGTTTTTGTGACTGTTGACAGGATTTTCATTTGCTTGTTGCAAACCCTAGAAAACAAAAATTATACGTCCAAGTGAAGGATTCTCTTGGTTTTACAGATTGGACAATCGGTACAGGAGAGGTAAAATAACATAAATGTTATTTTTTTTTTTTTCTAATTTTTTTATTTTCTGTACTGTACATAGATTGAATGGAGACTTGTTGAATTTTTGTTGAAATTTTTATTATCATGGCATGGTTCTGTGACATACTAGGTTGTCGTACATACTCAGTGGGAGTTCTTTGCATTAGAGCAAAATTTTGATTTCAATTCTTCTGTAGAGTACTTATATCTCTACATAGCAGCTCAAGTTAGTAAACATTCTTGTCCTGGAAAAACCTACATAGATGACTATTACAGAAAGCATTGTCCTCCAATTGTGGTTGGGTGCATGAAACTCCTTTGCCAATGAGCTATATATTTGACTCAATTTTCACATTTTCTTTTATTCATTTAGTACGAGTAACCAGTAGCCAATTGCCTAATAGCCATGAGTTATTTGTTGAGTCTGTGCTTGTGAGTTCAATGCTACTCTCATCAATGAGTTATTTCTAGAGAAAGAGAAAAAATAGTAAGAATTTTTCTCAATCTTCTGATGACATCACTGGGATGTTTGTGGCATAAGATACTGTGGAATATAGAAGACAGATTGTGATCAGAGAAACCAGCAGATTGATACTTAATAGATACAAATAGGTGTAAATGCTGGCGTCACCACAGCCCACTTGGTTCTCTTGCTCGTTCGCCGAATATACTTCTATTCCTTTAATTTATAATTATCCAATATGGCTACAAGTGGAATAGATAAACTTCTTAGGTTTAATCATACATCAGAAATAAATTTCAGTGGTTTATAAATTTTAAAACTTAACCGAACTGATAAATGGACATTTATAGTTAAATTGATATATTTAATTATTATACTACTAGCAATATTGCATTCACAATTTTCACGTTGGAAACATCAAGTTTTCATGAAATTTTCTAATACCACATCTCAGTGGTTGGTCATTTAAAATTGGGTTAAATCCAAAACAGGCATATTTTAACCAAACCAATCAACTTTGATGACTTCAATGTCAGGCGAACTGTAAACCACTACTGCTGGGTGTGGTAAATTATCTTCAGCTTATATGGTTAAATTATTACACCTTACATTGTGAAATGTATGTAACTTTAAATTTTATGTTAGTGTCCTTTGTTTTAATTTAGCCACCAAGTACTTCTGTTACATGGACATTCTTGATTTATATTGCTCTGCTTGAAATGTAATTAAGAAACATTTCTAAGATCTTTACAATTCTTTAGTAAATAATTCCATTGTGCTCATCTTTGCTATTGGGTAAAGGCTTTTCATACCTTATAATCTGAGATTTCTTCTGTAGATGTGGACATCAGGTGGGTTGCATCTTAACTTAATTTTACATGATCTGTAACTGCGTTCCTTTATCTTTTTGTGACTACATTTTGAGAATACAATGCATGGTTCAGTTCCTTCATTTTTTTTGTGAGAACGTTAAATTGGGAATACATATCAAAATTATGTTGAGGGTGATGAGGCCAGCGGAATATAAGCTAAGTTTATTTCTAGTTAAGATATTGGGAATTTTGCACAATACTTCTGCTTTTTTTTTTTTTTATTAGTTGCATCAGTGACTTCATGTGGATGGTTGATTAAAGTTAAAACTCGTTCATTTTATAATTTGGAAGCTTTGTTGAATTTCTTTCACATATAAATGATTAATTTACCTTTATAAACAGCTTCTTAATGCGATACCATTTTAGGTTGATCTGGGCTCTCTTCAAGACACTGTACCAACAGACAGAATTGTGGTTCTGCGAGGAGGTTGGGGATTGTTCGGCAGGGGGTCTTCCGGAGAGTTATTACTTCGACTTACATATAAAGCATATGTTGAGGATGAAGAAGATGACACAACTGGAGCAGTATCCATTGATGCAGATGCGTCAGATGATGATGAGTTCTCTGATTCTGATGATTTAGATGCTTCTTATGTGCCAGGTGAAAGAGATTTTTCAAAGGAAACCGATAAGGAGTCATTTATGGATGTTCTAGCCGCTTTGATTGTGAGTGAGGAATTTCAAGGAATAGTTTCATCTGAAACTGGAAATAACAAAACTTTGGATGATACCTCAAGGAAAGGGTCTACGATATTGAGGTCACGTGGTCCTAATGCTGAATCTGTGACATCAGATTCAGATGCAGCTTCTGGAGGTAGTTTGTTTTTAATAAGTTGAGTGTATATGTTTATGTATATTTAAGCTATAATATTTGAAAACCTGTATGAGGTTTTTTTTTTTTTTTTTTTTTTTTTTTAATTTTAAATTTTTTGCATTAATAATATTTATTGATATTAAACGTGATGTCTTTCAGGATCGTCTCTACTTTGGCTTGCTGTAGTAACAAGTATATTAGTGCTAATTGCTATCAATATGAGTGGCGCAAGTTTCTTCAATCCTTGAAATGACCTGTGCTTTTTTCTTGCACTTCCGTTTGGCCAAGTATTTCTCGGAAACCATCTTTACTCCTACTTCTAGTTTTCCTTTTAATTATGATTACAGTTGCATGCTTTGAAGTTTTTTGTTACAAGTAATAGCATTCACCTATTGATGGTACACAACTATGGACACTTTTGTTTTGCTTGATTTCTCTAGATGTATAGCATTTCGTGTATCCTTTCCTTAGTATTAAATAGCAAACTGACAAGATTTTATAGGAATATGCTCTTACAATTTAATTCTTTCTTACGTGTTTTTCTCTCAGGGAGAAGCATTGCTGTAATTTTAAAAATGGTGGCTGGTTGCTCAGTCTCTCTGTGTGTGACAGAACTACATTAAAATTTAGTTTCACAAAATCATTACTAAGGCTTGATACTTTAATTTTGTTTTGCCCATTTCAAAATTTTGTTGGTTCCGATCAATGGCTTGCTGCAAAAGTACTAGGAGACTTCAGTCATTATGTGATGCAAGCTATGGTTGACACCTTGGAAATTTCATCTCAAGATTGCGATTAATTTTGTTGTCACTCCATGCATTTATTTTATTGGTGAATATACTATGCCGTGCAACTGCACTGGGCAGTGCATCTAGATTTGAAATGAGGCGAAGTGGAGAAACAAAAAATTACATATACTTTCCAAGCTAAGATCCAACTTAAAACTTATTTTATTTGACATATTTTTGTTTTCATTAGATTTATCATCTTAAGCTTTGAGACATTCTAAGCAAAATTTCTTGGTTCTTTCTGCAGGCTTGGACGGTACAAACTCAGTACTCAAGAGAGATGGCTCACATCGTGGATTCTATTTTTCTTGTTACTGGTGTTTCATGATGTGGATTTATAATTTTCGGCAGAGGAATGTAGTATCGGCGGCAGGGATTTTTTGGGATCAAATCCCACATACATCAAAATTTGGAAATTCATGGTTGGGTAGGATTTTTTGGCTTCTTTTTATTTAAGCCATTAAATTTGTATTGTTCATTGATAATTTTATTTTATTTTTTCTCCTTACAAACAGAAGAAGGAACTGATCAGGGGCGTGTCCTGGTGGTTAGGGCAAAGGTTGTTACACTAACTGTGTAGCTATACTAAGATATTATTATGATTCTTACTTGCCAATAATATTGCAAAATTAAGGCAAAAAAGGAGTCTTTTTGGCACAGGAAAGATTGTGAAGCGGTTTTTCTTTTTTTTTTTTTGGTTGGTGGAATTAGATTGATTAGGTCAAATTTCTGAAGCTAACATGAGATTCCTAAGTTCAAAACTCTTAAATAAGGAAAACAGTCCTAAGTTCATCTCGATTGTTTCACTCTTTCTTATTCAGTGATGGAATTTTGAACAAATTGTTTTAAGGGTTAAATGGAGAAAAAAATTAAAACAGGGGCAATGATGGAATTTCTCCCTTTCCCTACCCATTCCTCCCAAACTTGGGACGAATTCGATTCCCCCATTTTGGGAGCTCAAAATGTGGCTCAAGTATGTAAAGAGCAAAAGTAAACATGCCCTTTTGGCATTTCTTGATTGATTGTACTTTTCATATTTGGTGTCTCCACCAAAGAGTAATGCTAAGTAGTTTCATTTATTCTATTCATTCTTTTCTCTTAATGGGGTATAACTGTAATATTCTATTTCTCACACACCCCCTTAGGCTGCTTAATTTCCTAGGATAGACATTAAGCTTGCTTATTAGGAATTCAAAATTCTCAACTGTAAGAGGCTTGGTTAAAATGTTGGTTGTTTGGTCCTTAGAAGGAACACAACTAACTTGAATTTTCTAATTGCTCCATGAAAGACAAGATTTAAGCACTCTTGTTGTCACACCAAATTATTGGTGTTCAACTTTAAGTTCCTCCAAGAGTGAGATAATCCAAGAAATCTCTATTCTAGTTTGGGCAATGACTTTCATTACTAGATCTGGCTATTGTTTTTTGTTTTCTTGAACTCCAACATATAGGATTTCCACCAAACATAATACAAAAGCCTCCAATCGATTTTCTATCTTCAATATCACAAGCCCAGTCAGCATACGAAAATGCTTTAATTTGAGCTTTTCCTCCAATGTTGAACATTAAACCATACTCAATAGTACCTTTGAGATCCTCTTGCACCCTTGCCCCAAGGTTCTTGCTTAAACTGGCTTAGTCTGTTTACTACAAAACTTACCTCAAGTCTTGTAAAGCTCTAATAACACTTCTATAGAATGGGGTATTAGACATGAGCTTTCCTTCATTCTTGATAAACTTATGTACTATGATCATAGGGGTAGGGTAAGGTTTTCAGTTCTCTGTTTTTGTTCTCTTCAACACATCTTGAATATACTTTGATTGAGACAAGGGTAGAGAGGATTATGTCTTGTGAGCTTCAATGCCAAGAAAGTAAGTTATAGATCCAAGGTAAATTGGCTATTTACTTGAGAAATCACTTCTGAAATTAAAGTCTCATTACACCTTGTAATAAGAATATCATTTACATACGCAAGCTTATGAAGAATAAACAAAGATGGATTGGATTTCGAGTTGTAAAAGAGCTTCTCTGAGTTTATAAAACCAAGCTCTAAGAGCTTTCTCTAACTTGCATACATGACTTGGAAATTCAACACTTTCAAACCCCTCAAGTTGGTCCATGAACACTGCCTCAAATAAATCTCCATTAGAGAATGACATTGTTTACATCTACCTGTTTCACATCCCATGAATTCATCATTGCAAGACTAAGGACAATAGTCGCTGTGATGGACTTGACAACTAGACCTAAAGTCTTAAAATAATCAACTCCAGGTGTTTGTCTTCCTTTGTACACTACCATCAGGATTATATTTCACTTTGAATACTTAGTTGCAACCGACCAACTTGATATCAGGAGTCTTGGAACAAGTTTCTAGGTTTTATGTTGGAGAAAAGCATGATATTTCTCCCCCATTGCTCTTCTCCAGTGAGGACTCCTAAGAGCATCAGAAATAGTGGCTAGTAAATCTATTAAGGAAGTGTTTGAGGTGAGATAAAGCTTGGGTTTAAAGATGCTAGCCTTAGCTCTAGTAATCATAGGATGGCCACCAGGTAACGAGAACAGCCGAGCTTGTAAGGGAAATGGTTTATTAGGAAAAAAAAATAGATGAAGTAGGATCAGAAGTGAGAGGCAATTGACAAATTGTGATATAAATGAGCAGATGATATAAGTGAAGGAGAAGTACTAGAATAAGCATCAGGACTAATAGAAGGAGATGAAGGAGTTACCTGAGATGCATTGTCATCAGTGCTTGTTGATGTAGAAACTTAAAGAAGATCATAATTGTATGTGACTAAATGAAATTGAGATACTGGAGGTAAAGTGGAATGGGAAGAGGATTTTGACATTAAGAAGGAGTAAGGATACTCTAAGACTCATTGAAAGCTACATCTTTAGCAAGATAGGTTCTACTAGAAGGACTGAAACATGGAATACCCTTATGCTTTAGGCTGTAACCAAGAAAAATGAACTTTGTAATGTGAAAAGCAAATTTATGAGTGTTGTGGGCTCGTAGGCAAGAGCATCTAAAAGTATAACCAAGTTTCTTGTGAAAAACTTTTTAAAAAGGAGGATACTTTTCTAAGATAGGAGTAGGCATCTTATTGATTAGATAAACAACAGTTAACAAAAGTTCCCTCCAAAATTTTAATGGAATTTGTGCTTGTGCAAGAATTGTTAAACCAATCTCAACCAGGTGCCTACATTTTCTCTCAACTCTTCCATTCTGGTAATAAGGATAAGAATGTCTTTGAGTGATTCCATGTGTTTGAAGATAAGGAACAGAACTCTTTAATTCTCCCCCCATGTCAGTTTGTAAGACTTTGATGTGCATCACAAAATTTTGAAATGCTGAAGTACCATCAGTTTATAATTTGGATCAATTAGCAGTTGTTGCAGTCCATCCTGGCCACTCGTTTGAGAAGAGTTCTCTCCATCTGGTCCTTGATTAAACATGTTTTTTTCCGTGAAACACTATAGAAATTTTTTGTTAGATGTGAGTTAAAGAACTTAAAAGGTTCTTGGTAATTTAAGGTACAACAAAAACAATATCAAGTGTAATTTAATCTTGAAATAGTAGGTATAGCATCTTACCATAGTGTGTGATATTCAAAGTTTGTCTACTCCTACAGTTTCCTTCTCAAAACACTATTGATATGTTTACAAGTCTTAAAACATTGTAAACATGAGTGGACAAAGAATTACAAGTTCTAAAACACTGTAATTCAGTTGAATTGAAGAGTTTCACTCCAAGTCCTAAAACACTTGGATTGTGGAATGTGGAATGCAATGGAGGAAATTCAGCCAAAGCAAGTTCTAAGGAGAGAGAGAGTCCAAACATTTCAGCCCAAACATTCCAAACCCAACTCAACAAGGAAGCTCAAACCCCACCAAGAAGAAGTCCAAGTGTTGAAGTGGTCCAATCCAATCCAAGTCTCATTCCAAAGGGGAAGATCCACATGAACCCTTATTAGATCTATTTGCATGATTCTTAAGGCCCAAATCATTAGGATCATTGATCAAGTTTTAATTTAATGAAGTAAGCTTATTTCAACTAATAGTGTGTTAAAGACATAGATCCTAGAATTAGAGAATATTGTCTTTGTATTAAATAGGCATAGCCTTACTTTTTGAATGAATGACTTGTAATATAATTAAGTTTTATTTTTATTTTATTATATTGTCAATTACTTGTTTATCTTTGATTTGCCAATATAAGGGCAACTATTTCATTAACAATGAGCTTTTGAAATATATGAAATTTGTTTTATCTATTTGAGAGAACTTTTGTGTTCTTGAGTGTACATTCTTTATCCAAGTCTTGGTAAGGGGATTTGGTAGTGAATCAATTCAAGTTAGTGAGTAATCTTTTAGGCTTGAAGTATTTCTACTTGTCTTGGTCCAGATTGCAGTAAGTGTGTTTTAGTTTATGTTTTTAATTTGGTCAAATTTTTACTTGATTTTTGGAGTGTGTGTTTTGTTGAATGGTTGGAAATGGATCAATTATACTTATTCTTTTAACCCAAATTGGATATATCACTGGCATATGGCAAGAAAAACCATTATCAATACTAGTTGATTCATTTCCATGTTCATAAGCAACAACATAAACCGAGTTTTGATTACCTTGAACCTTCCAAAACTCTGCCAGGAAAAATTTCTATCATACCTATGATAACACATCCTAGCTACATGCCTGTTTTTCCACACATTTGGTGAGTTGCATTGGACCATTTCTTTTTCCTTGGTTTCACCCTTGCCTCTGTTTCTTCCTTTAGGGTTCCATTTGGGAATTTTTTTTTTTTTTTTTTATTTGCAAGGTTAAAGTTTGGGTTCTAATGAAATTGTTATTTGGCATAGGAAAAATAAGCTGAGTTGTTTTGATAGACATCATGGGTAGGTACAAAAAGATAGTCAAGTCTGTTTTCAAATTCATGAGTTAATACAAGGAATAACTTTTGAAACTAGTAGGCTCACTCTAGCATTATATTACTCAACAAATCATATTCAAGTCCTAAATCTCCTGTTTCAATTGTTTCTCAAAAAATGCATGTCTAAATCTTTGAAATCAGAGATAGAAATTCTTGGCAAGACAACAAATATCATCATTTTAAATGATTAAACTTTTCACTGAATTCAAGCACAAACTAAGATAAGGGGTTCCTTAATTGTTCTATATATGTTATCTACTTCAACTATATATATCTATTACAATATAATGTTAATAAAAAATTTAAAAGAAACAGGTAAAATACGAACCACAAATGTATTTGAAAGATTTATGACTTATTTTACACTCCAACAACCTCACTTTCGTTCCATTTGTTTTCTTAAGTTTCCAAGGGACCATAAGTTTGCTCTTGAACTTGCTCTTTGCTACAATAATCATATACTGTGTTAAATTTGTACCACATTTGAGGCATATC